TGTCTGTCTCCTATCTCTCCCTCTCACTCTCTCTTCCTCTCCCCCACTCCCCCGTAAAATCAATGAACTGCGGGGCCCCGTGTCCTCCCCACCACAGGCCGGCCCAGCCCCCAGCCCCACGGCTGTCACCCACCTGTCCTTCTGACACACGAACAGGTTAAAGGCGTTCTCCGCCCCCAGGAAGTTGTCATCATCCAGGATTTCCACGGCACTCATCCAGTTGGGGTTGAAGTCCCGAGCGATCTGAGCAGAGCGGTGCCAACGCGGGACTTCAGCAGCGGGCGTGGAGCCCGCGCTGGGCCCGCCGTCTTTTAGCCAGAAACCCAGAGTCTGCCCCGAGGAGACCCTGTCCGGGCCTAGCAACGGCGCTCTGGAGGTTCTCCCGTCTCTGCCGACACAGCCCACTGGCTGCGATTACCCAGAAATGGGGATGCTCACGGTTTGGGGTGGGGCCGCGGGACGTGCCCTCCAGGGAAACGTTCCCGTCAGTCCCCCGGGCGGCCTGCCCCTCGCCAGAGACCCCCGAGCAGGGCCCCGCTGAGCGAGGCCGCACCCCGTACCTCCTCGAAGTTGCCCTCCATGGGCTTGTAGGCGAGCAGCAGCACGGAGCGCATGAGGTCGCCCACCAGGATGAAATCGCCCTTGGTCTTCAGGTAGAGCGCCATGATGTTGTTGTAGTGGTTGCACTCGGTGCGCAGCTCCTTCTCCGCCGTCCACTCGTACAGCCGCACCTGGGGGGGCACCAGGCCCGCTCACAGGACTGTCCTGCCCTGTCCCCGTCCTCCCTCTCAGCCTGGCACCCGGGCACGTGGGCCATCAAACGGCCTGAGGGCACGCATAAACATGCCAGCATCTGTATTTATGAGCTACGACGGCAGCGAGCACCTCAAACTGATACCAAGTTTCCCTTTACATAGTAAAGGAGCAGGAAGACAAACGCTGAGTCAGCAATAATGCCAGCACCACTATGAAGACGACAAAAGACGGTTCCTGTGACTGAGTGTGGTGGCAGACTTGCAGAATGTTCTAGAAAGAAGCTCCATCTCCAACGTCGCCATCAGAAAGAACAAGGTAGCCTCCCAAAATCTGCCTGTTCTAAACCTTTCTCAAACATGTCCGTTCCTGGAACCGGTGACGTGAGCCCAACGAGAGGGAAATGAATGGGAAAGTGAACGCCTCGCGTAACAAAGGCTCCGCAGCCCTGAGTCGGGGTTTCCTTCTCCTCCACTCAATGCTGCTGCTGTGACAGCCACATCTCCAAGAGAATGAGAGGCTTTATCATCGGCGAACAGACACCTGGCAGAACCCAGGCTGAGACACTCAGCTCCCAGGAGAAGCTGCCTGGCAGGCAGTTCCAGGTCCCGTGGCCCCACCTCCGGCCTCTGCACAGGAAGGACAGGATGTACGAGCCATGATTTCTTGAGATGTGGCCAAAGAACCCTCGCTCCACAGGGGTGGCCTCCAGGAGTCATTCATAACGACGGTGGTTGCCACCCTCCATCAGCAGGGCCAAGGGGAGGCCTTGCCAGCCTCCACATGCCACAGTGGCGTCAAGAAGGGGCAAGAGCGTGACACGCCCCTCCCTCTCTACCTGCCATGGAGACGGCCAGACACCCCCAAAAACCCAAGACCCCCTCAGCCCGGGTTCTAGACCTCGCTGTTCAATACGGTGGCCTCGAGCCACACACGGCGACATAGCAGCTGGCATGCGGCTGCCCCAGATGAGATGGCTGTCATTGTAAAACACACCAGACTCGGAAGACCTTAGTATGAAGAAAGGAAAATATCTAATAATCTTTATATTGTCCCATGTTAAGTAATACTTTGAATCCATTGAGTTAACAAAATGCATTACTAAGATTAACTTCACTTGCTGCTTTTTGCTTTTATTCGCGTGGCTTCCAGGAAGTTTACAATTACACACGTGGCTCCTGTGGCATTTGAGACGGCGATGGACTCGACAACAGCTCCCAGCTCCTCACCCAACCCCGGGGCCCCAGCGCAATCCCACTCCCCCTGGAGCTGCTGTCACTAGGCCCGGCGACCTGATCTCTGGACAGTCCCTTGTTGCTCTGGCCAGTCCCTTGTTGCTCTGGCCAGTCCCTTGTTGCTCTAACGGAAACGCAGACCTTTTCCTAGGGCCCTGGGCCCTCTCAACTGGCTGTCTTTCCTCCCATTGTCCCTCTAAGCACCTCGCCTGCCCTTTCAGACTTCTACCACCTCCCCCTACAGGCACCAGACCACTCCCACCTCCACCCCACCCCCTTGCTCTCTCGCATACAACAGTCCTGTAGTTCTTGGTCCTCTAGCATCCACACAAAGAACCTCTTTCCAATACCTTGACCTCTGACCTTGTCTGATCCCCCTTAGAGCCTGCTGTTAAAAAGAACTCGAGAGTGCCCTGTGCGCAGGTCGCCTTTCCCAGCTGCCCAGAGCCACCGCCAGCCGCTCTCATGGCGCCGCTCAGCGTCCCCGCGGAAGACAAGCGCGCGGTGCCCCCTCGCTGGAGCGCCGAGTGTCCTGCGGTCCCGTCCTTACCTTTGCTCTCTCCCCCTCTCCCACCAGACGCCTTGAGGGGTTTCCAATACCCCTTGCCCTGCGGAACCCTCTTCCTCAAGTTCCCCTCCTCCCACCTCTCACCCAAAGTCGCCCTCGACCCCAAAGCCAACGGCCAGTTCCAACCCCGAGTTCCCTGAGGCGCGGGCAGCACGTGCCGTTACCAGCCCCCTCCTGATTTCACGTGATTCCGCCCAGATCCGCTGCCATCGCCAGCCCACCTCTCGCCTGGCTCCGCCGCCCTCACCCCGCTCCTATGACATCCTCACTCGGATGACAGCGGACACCCAACCTCTGGTGCCACCCCCGCACAGGAGACAGATTCAGTCTCTGCCCCGATTCCTACGCGAGAGGGTGTCAGAAGCACCTTCCCCAGAGCCCCAAGCCCCTCAGAATTTCCTGGGTGAGAGGAGTCTTGCTCTAGTAAGGCCACTCCTGGGGACTCCTGGGTAGTGTCAGGATCGGGTGGTCACTCGGAAGACTAGAAGCTTGGAACTTGCAGTCCCACCCTCCTCTGGGGAGGAAGGGGCTGGAGACCGAGTTAATGCCCATCGTGCCCACAGGATGAAGTCTCCACAAAAACCCGACCTGCAGGGTCAGAGAGCCCTCAGCTGGTGAGCACACCCCCGACCGGCAGGCGGCGCACCCCACCAGGAGGACAGCGGCTCTGCACAGGACCCTCTGAGCAGGGCCACTCACCGGCTCAAACCCCCTGCACTGCGGATCTGATGCTCCTGCGGTTCACATAACCACGCCTCCCAGACCCCCAGCTTTCCCCTCCCCCTCCCCTCACTGCTGTATCGTTAGCACTGGACACCCCCCCCCACCCCGCAGGAAAGTGGGGAGCAGCCTGTGGACAATGTGTGCAGCCGGGAGAGGACAGCCCTGAGTGGCTGGGCCTCACCGTGCTATTGATGCTGGCCAGCAGCTTCCCGTTAAATTCCACCATGGAGTACACGGCCCCTTTCACTTCCTTCTCAGCCACAGTCTGCAGTTTTCCTGGGGGAGGAAGAGATACTCTTGAGCCTCCTGAGCCCACACTAACTGACCAAAAGGAAACTCGATGCCCCTCTGGCTCTAAGGCCTGACAGCAGGAACACAGCCAGTGCAGACTGCGGGGAACCACCACGGAAGGATGAGCCTCAAGGTCATGTGCAGTGACTCCAGACAGCGTCCCCGAGCTGCCCGCCTAGTGCACAGCTCGCTCAGGAGGGAGACTAATTCCACTGCGTCCACCTGTCCCAAGGTTTCTGGGCTGAAAGCTAGTCTTTAGGACCTTATGGGGGGGGGGGGGGGGAAAAAAAAGAATGAACACGACGCCTTGAAGAGGGAAAGAAGTCCTCCATGGCTGAGCAACCAGGACTCATCTCTCACTCAGCCACTAGATGCTCCTCCCCCGCACCCACCTCCCCCTCCTGCCTTTCCAGGAGCAGAGAGGGAAGCAGCACATGCGAGTGTGTGTGCCGCGGCGGCTCATCTGCTCCAGAACGCGCTCAGGCGACAGTGTGAGGAGGGGACAGAGTGGCTCGTGGCGCAACGATGACCACCACCCTCCTGCTGCTTAGCGGAGGCTCTGAACCCGGGCGGTCTGCTTCCTCTCCGCGCCTCCGCGGCTGCAGACCCACTCACCGTCTGAATACTGAAACACCACAATCCGACCCTGCTTGGGCTCCGCCTCTTCTGGGTACACCATGGCGGTGCCCACAATGAAGTAGGTGTTGGGGTCTTTGCCCAACTTGCAGGAGACCAGGCTGAGGGCGTACTCGTTCTGCAGAAACTGGTGGGCATGGAGCACTGGAGGGAGAGGGGAGAGGGTGACTGCAATGACCCCACGCGCAGGCAACCCTGCACTTCTGAGGCTCGCAGCGCGGCTCCGAGCAGAGCCCCGGTGGTGCCGGTGCCAGTGCCAGTGCCAGTGCCAGTGCCCGCGCCCCCTGCTGCTCCTGTCTCCACAGACTCCCTCGCCAGCCGGCACTGGCCTGAGGCCCGCCCCTCCTGCCTTCTCCTCTGAGGACGGCCGAGCACAGCGTCCACCAAATCCTGAAATACATCAGGACCCAGGCTGCCGAGTTTAGGGAGAAGTAGGTACAAAACGACAGAGCTCGTGTGCACCTTCGAAGGTGTGCTGGTCGATGATGAGGAGGTTGTGCACCTCCACCTCTTCGCCGAAGGAGGTCTCGTGAGGGGCTGTGCTGCTGGAGAACAGCTTGCTGGAGCTGACGCTGCTGGACAGGGCCTGGGGGGAGAGGCGCACTCATCACCCGGAAGCAGACCGTGCGCCGACGGGACCAGGGAACAGAGACTGGGTCTGAGTGGGGAGAGCTCTAGAGGTTGGCAGCTCGAGTGGAACCTAAGGAGCCGTGGGCTTCGGAGGCCATGGGGACGAGGACAGGGATCTGAATTCCCTCTGGAATTGACAGCGGTCCTGACAGCACAGGAAGCTGAGGGCCAGGAGATCACTAGGACAGTGACCCACATCCACCAGCACAGCCGAGGAGGAGCCAGGCACCTAAGAAAGCGAGACTCCACCTCCCCCAACGGGAACAGCAGGGGACGCTTCCAACAGAAGGAAAACGGAGACCTTCTATCGGATTCGGGAAGAAGCCCTATCATAGGGGTCTGGAGCAGGAAAGGCGGGGAGCCCCTGGACTGAGACGGTCAGCCAACCCCCCCACCAAGTGCAGCTCGGGAACGTCCTATCGCTGGCACGCAGATGAGAAAAAATGAGGTCAGCAGCTAGCACTGCAGCTCGAAGCTAGCTCCGTCAGAGGCCAACCCCATGCCCTCAGCTATCATGCTACGCTGTCCCCCACTACGCACACCCTACAAAGTCCCCAACGATGAGAGAAGCATCACTCATCCTGCAAAGCCACTGACAGCCACCCGCACCCCAAATTCTCACCCCTCCAGGGAGGGGGCCCAGCCCAGCTCCTGCCTGTTTTCTATGTAAAGTTTTACTGGGACCCAGCTGTGCCACCTGCTGCTCACGGCTGCTCCCCACGGGCAGTGGAGCAGTGCCTGAGGCCGTCTGTCCCCGCCCTCACCTGGGTGCTGGCACTCGGCCTCAGAGCAGTTGTGCCCCCACTCGAGTCCTGAACTTCGATGCGGCTGGAGAGGACCCCAAAACACTGGGACACCTCCTGGTAGCAGATCTTCCTGCAGAGCAAGCACAGAGCAGGGCCGTCAGAGCCGGAGCCTCCACCCACGCCCGGGCCGCCCTCCGCCCACCTGCCCGCCCACCCGCGCCTCACCGGGGAGACTCGTAGAGCGGCACCGTGCGGATGTGCAGCTTCTGGATCTCATCGATGGTGCCGATGGTGAGGGTGCTGTTGTTGGCCAGTGCCAGGCTGGAGAGAGGGTCTGGGTTAGTGAGGAGACTCGAGGAAGGACAGGATGCCAGGAGGGAACTCCACAGGGAGGAAACCAGGCGGAACCGCACCAGCTTCCTCCAGGGCAGCGGCTCTCAGCTCTGAGGCTTAGGCTCAGGGCGCCGGGGGCGACTTCACAATCCGGACGCCTGGTCCTCCCAGGAGGTTCCACTTAATCGGTCTGGGTGGGCCTCGGCCAGTGATGGCAAACCTGTGACACGCGTGTCAGAGGTGACACGCAAACTCATTTTTTGGTTGATTTTTCTGTTAAATGGCATTTAAATATATAAAATAAATATCAAAAATATAAATCTTTGTTTTACTATGGTTGCAAATATCAGAAAATTTCTATATGTGACACGGCACCAGAGTTAAGTTAGGGTTTTTCAAAACGCTGACACGCCGAGCTCAAAAGGTTCGCCATCGCTGCTCTCAGATGTTCGCCATCACTGGCCTAGGCTGAGGTTTATGAGCTTTCAGTTCAATGCGTACAGCACTAGAATCTACAACAGAGATTCCAACAGCAACTCTGCCGAAGGGCTTGCTAAACCATATTGCTCCCCCAAGAAACCCTAGCATTTCCCACGTGTTCCCAGGCAATGCTGGGGCGCTGGTGGGGCCACGCTTGTGAGCTCCGCTCGAGGGAACTACACATGCTCTCTAAAGCTGCGGATTAAAAAGATAAAAAATAAAATAAAAAATGAAGCTACAGGTCAGTCACCTGAAGCACCTGAGGTTTCCCGAGAATAAAGATTCTGGGGTCCAACCTCAGATGTGCTGAATCAGAATCTGAGAAGGAATCAAAAACCTGTACTTTAAAAGCCCCCAGGTATCGCCGTAGGCAGCCAGATCCGAGCGCCTCTGCTCTGCCCTTCCCATTCCGCTGTCCAGACTGGCGCTGGGGAAGGGCGCAGGGGAGGGGTTTGAGGAAAACACCATGGTCCTCAATCCTGGCTCCCGCTGAAGAAACAGGCTCACCTGTCAGGATAGCCATCGGAGTTGAGGGGACACATGTAGTTCACTTCCTTGAGGTTGACATTAGAGAAGACCAACTTGTGGTTGCTGCTGTAGATGACAGTGGGGCGGTCCGAGCAGGCGAAGACGTTGGTGGTAGAAAGAGACCGGAAAGTCCTCAGCACCGTGGGCTGGGTGCCCAGGGTCACCTTCTTGCGGTCGCTCAGCAGGCCTACAGGGACGGCACCGGAGAAGGGAGGAAAGGGACAGGGCGACAGCTGGGCTGGGCAGGTCCACAAGCAGCACCTTCAGGCACAAGGCGCCAAGTCCAGCCTCACTGGCCAAGTGCTGCTCTCACCTGTCTCGATGTTGAGCCCGAAGTAGAACAGCGCCCCGTCTCCCAAGGCACAGAGGAGGTAGTGGCTGCTCTCGAAGGTGGTCATCAGGATGGAGCGGGGAATGATCTCTGTGCGGAAGGGGACATTCAGTTATCATTCCCCATCGGCCCAGTCCCAGCCCAGGGACTTAAAAGGTCCGTACCTCCTCCCAGCATCTCTTTGTGCAGCAGCTCAAACGAGGGCAGCTTCAGGATCCGGGCCGAGATGTCTGTCCAGAGGCCAATGGCACAAAGAGGGGACAGCCCATTGCTGTCCCCCAAGGGGGTGATGTCCAAGCAGGCCACTTCGTGTTCCATCTCTGTGTGGCTGAACAAAGAGGCAGATGGCAGAGGGAAGCACCCAGGAGGAAAGGAGAATGGGAGGGACGGGCCGCCAGCGCGCACCTGATCTGCCGGAGCTCCTGCGGGTGGATCTGCAGGCAGTAGAGCGCCCGGCCCACGGCGACCACCACCTGGCTGCTGTTGCAGGAGGCCACGCTGATGTTCTTGCCCTGCGGCTCCTTCCACTCGCTGACTAGAGCTTTGGGGTCTTGGGACACCAGCCTCACGGAGGCAGACGTGATCTGGAGGAAGAAAGGCGATGTCTCCAGGACTGGCAGCTCAAAAGGTGAGGTGGGTGAAATCAAAGAGCATCCGGGTCACTCCAAACAGAAAGATGGCGGGGGGCGAGGGGGCGGGCTCAGCAATCAGGCTCTCTGACCCCCACAGCAGGGACAGTTAGAAGAGCTGACTCTAGTAACTAACACCTGCAAAGTGCTGCCAGTAATCGTGTACGGATGGCAGCACTATGACTAATTGTCTGTCTTCTTTGTGCTTTTCTCTATTTTCCGTGTAAGTGCCCTAGATAATAAAAGGCTAACCTGCACACTGTCCCCGTGGGCGGGAGTCTGACCCGCCAGGAGTTAGACGTGCGCTGACCACCAGGGGGCAGCATGGAACATGGTGGGTGTCAGCTACGCAGCGCTGGCAGCCCTGATGGGCCCCGACAAGAGCAGGACCGCAGTGGGATGGTGGAGGTGAATGGGTGGCACCAGGCTAAGGCAAGTGTGAGCGAGGCCCCTGATCACCCCGCAGTTGCCGTCTGTGGGGCGACCAGTATGGTGATCAGCAAGTGGGTGGCACCAGACCAAGGCAGGTGCAAGCGGGGGCCCCGATTGCCCCACCGGTCACCCCACAGATGGTGACCAGTGGCGGCGGCAGCGAGGGGCAGGGCTGGCAAGCATGCAGCACCAGGCCAAGGCAGGTGCAAGCAGGGCTCCCCAATCACCCTGCCGGTCACCCCACAGATTGGCCCTGATTGCCACCAGGCCCAGGAACCCTACCCGTGCGTGTATTTCGTGCACCGGGCCTCTAGTGTATTAATATTATGAGGAAAATGTGTGTCTCAGAAGACAGGGTATAATAAGTATTAAGACAGTAACCCTCAAAATATACATATTAAAATCCCAGTCTATAAAAGATAATGTGAATAAACAACATACACACATTTGCAGAGGAAACAAAGTTAAAAGCAACAACTCCAAAGTGAAGAGTTGTTAAATTGTTATCTCTGAGTATTGGGTTAGCAAGTAATTTAATTTTTTTCTAGTCCTTTAACATTATTTTAGAGCCACAAGCATGGACTGCTCTGTACTGCACTTGAGGTCCAATTCAAGGACATAGGGCCCGCCACTCTGTCAGTACCTGGATAAGCTGCTGATGAGCCACATTGCCACAGAAGAAGGTCTGCTGCTCGTCCACAAACCCCGTCAGCTCCGTCTCCTCCACCTCCTCGCCGTTCAGCATGAGGACCCTGCGGGGAAGGAGCCTTGGTGAGCCGGACCAGCTCCCCGCCGCCTTCTCAGGAGTGCCTGGAGCCGGCGCAGGCTCATCTTACCTTGTCTGGCCCACAAAAGAGAGGACCAAAGTGTCATCAGTCTCCCGGGTAGGATCAGACCGCAGGGGCCACAGGCCTGGAACAAAGGTCAAGGGTTAAGACGCACAGCACAGACCGACACCGTGAGGAAGGGGCAGCTGTCTCCATGGGGAGAGAGGAGAATCTGGAATCAGTCGGGAGTTGAAACACACGCTGTGTTCTCCCCTGGTATTAACTCTGAAGAAGGCAGACACCCCAAAACAGTGTGAGCCTGCCACGTTACAGTTTCTAACTTGATTTCAGGTAATACATTTGCATGATTCAAAATCGAATTTATTTTTAAAAAATATAACAGAAGTCTCACTCCTTTAACCCTCCCTCCAACCCATCCTTCAAATAAGTCATCAAGAATAGCTTTGAGCCTGACCAGTGTAGCTCAGTGGTTGAATGTTGACCTATGAACCAGGTCACGGTTCAATTCCCAGTCAGGGCACGTGCCCGGGGTGTGGGCTGGGTCCCCAGTGTAGTGAGAACAGGAAGCAGCTGGTCAGTGATTCTCATCACTGACGTCTCTCACTCTCTCTCCCTTCCTCTCTGAAATCAATAAAAATACATATTTTTAAAAGAATAGTTTCTAGTTTGTCCTTCCAATTTATTTAATTAAATTTATTGAGGTAACATTGGTTAATGATTCAACTTTATTTGATAACTTAAGAAAACAGGTAAACACTGTCTTACAAGCAAATACAAATAAAACGGCCTATTTCACGCCGTTGTGCATCCTGCTTTCTCGTTATATGCCGAGCCCTTATCAGAGCAGAGCAGGTCAGTTCCTTTTTCCGACACGTGCACGGCACTGAGCGATGAGGCTGTGCCAGGTCACTACGAAGTCCATTGCTGGACACTTTTCAGTGGACTTTGCTGACACACATGCCACGAAGAATAACCTGACGCCGTTTTTGTGCAGATGAAGGCCTGTGGCAGACGCCCAGCACGGGGGCTGCTGCTGGGGAGCACTGCTATGAGCACGCGGCCCGCACAGCCTCACCAGCAGAAGGTGCGGCCAAACTCTTGGGTTTTGGTCATCTGGCGAAGAATGAGATCCCTGTTGTTTTGATTTGCATCTCTTTTAATACAAAATGAGGCCTGTTACTGTCCATTCATGTCTTTTGCCAAATCGAGGACAGGAAATGTGGTGCTCTTTCTAGAAGTGTTTTTCTTTTTTTTTATAAATTAGGGGGATTGGGTCTTTGGCTAGAAAATAACATGTTTTTAACCAGTTTGCCATTTCTTCTAACTTTCCAGTGTTCTGTCTTCATCATGTAGTAGTGTTTTATTTTTCTTATTGAATTTATCAATCTTTCTTTTTAGCTCCTGTACTTTGAGTCATAGTTTAAAAGACCTTCCCACTCCAAAATTAGGAAGGAATTCACCAACTTCCGCGTTTAGCTTTTGCATGGCTTCATTTTTTTACATGAAGTCTTTGTCCATCTAGATTCCAGCAAGGTGTACACTGTGCAGTACGGGTTCCACCTTATCTTTTCCCAATGCTGTTACCCCAATATCACTTATTAAAAAGGATCACCTTCGTCTCAGTGAATGGAGATACCGCCACTATCATACACTAATTCCCTCACGTCTTGTTATTTCTGGACTTCTGCGTCTGCTCATGGGACTACCTATTTTGCACTAAGCCACACTTTTAGTTTCTTAAGTTTAATAGTATGTTTTGTTTAGTTTTTACTTTTTTTTATTTGGTTAATCCTCACCTGAGGATATTTTTCCACTATTTTTTTAGAGTGAGGAAGGGAGACAGGAAAGGGGGAAGTAAGAGGGACAGAGAGGAGGAGAGAGAAACATTGACATGAGAGAGATGTACTGATTGACTGGGCCAGGGATAGAACCTGCAACCAAAGTATGTGCACTTGACCCGGAATCGAACCCAAGACCCTTCGGTATGCAGGCTGGTGCTCCAACCATTGAACCACACAAGCCAGGGCTTAATAATGTTTTAACACCTGATAAGGCTAGTCCTGCATCACTGATCTTGAGTTTTCCTGGCTTTTCTAGTTTCTTGCTCTATTTGGACTTTGACTTGTCATCAAGGAAAAACCTACTCATGTTATTGGTACATTACGTATAAAAAGCTGGAGAGAGAACAGCTTTCTAACGATTTGTAAGACCTGGCTGTGTCTTTTTCATTGGAACAAGCTAGCCTTCAAGAGTACTTTAAAGTTTTATGTATAGATTTTGCACATTTTTTGTTAAACTTATTCGTTGGTATTTTACCTTTTTTGCTGCTATTGCAAATTGCCTCTTT